TTGGCGAACCATGGATTGACGCCATTATCGACTTCGAGAGACGACTGGTGAAATCCCGAGCACGAACGCGTGTCAAGGCAGCTCGCGACTTAGCCGAAGTTATAGAAGGGCTGAGGATTGTGGTAAGGCCATCATTCATACTTGCGACTACCTTGAAACCAAGCGATATTTGCAGGCGGCCACAAAACTACGCGCATTTTTCACGGCACTGTTCCAACCAATCCGGGGCAGTGTCACGACGAATATGCAGGTTATACAGACTTCGGTGTTACTCAAATATAGTCCCCTTTATGCGTTTCTGCAACGGCATGCGCCCAATGTTGCCCTTGAACTGCAGCGGTCCTACATTGGGGCCGCCCGCCTATACTACGAAACCGGGTTTCGACGCTATATCCGAAGCCTCAATGTAATCAAGGTGATTTTTTATCACCTTCGGCATGAGTTTCGAAGGACTGACAGCTTCAAATGCAGGGCCGGACAACGGACAAGTTTGAATCTATCGTCAATATCAAGTCGGATGCCAATATACACCTTGAAAGACTCCAGCATGCTAAAATTGACGGACCAGGCGTGACACTGGCTTACATGGCTGACGACAAAACTCATGTTCGTGATTGGACATTCCCTTCATCGCAGCGATACTGATATTATCTCTTAGAAAGAATATGTGGAGTCTCTTCTACGTTCACTTTTGCTAGTCTTCATGGACAACGCGACTGCTGAATATAGCTTTGTCTCCACGTTCTTTGCCCCACAAAGGTCGCTTCCCCCTGCGGAACCAAGACCTCCGCTCCCAGCGTCAGCATCAATACTCTCCCCTGATGGAGGAACCTTTACAGAGCCTCTTTCGGGCACTGATTCTGATTTTGGAGCGCAGAACCCTTTGTCCAGCACCACACCGGGGCTTGGCGGGTTTGTATCTTTTGTAGCTAAATCCAAAGAGGAGTTGGCAGTCATCGATGGATTATGGAAATCAATAATGGACCCGGTCATGGAATATTGCCAGGTACGTGGAAACTCGTAAGACATCCTAGAGGGTATGTTTACATCGACCAAAGGCATTCGTTCGTTCTATAGTGGACCCGATACCTCCAACAATACCGCTTCTCACGATGATTCGGTTAGCTGAAGACGTGGTTGCTGAGGTTCAAAGGCGTCACTGTCCTCCCGCAGAGTCATACGTATTTGGCTTGAGTCTCAATATGTGGCCTGTCTTCCAGAAGGGCATGACCGAGCATATCGACAGTCTCAAGAAATTGGCTGAGGGTACCAGCTCTGGATACTTCAGTCGGGCAATGACGACAACAGACGCAACTGTTTCAGCCGTAAGTCAATTTTCACATAGTCGAAACTTGAAATTCAGTGTACGTGATAGGTTTGTGAACAATACGTTGCGTTTTTCAACTCCTTCGTGTTCTTGACGGATAACGAGGCGGAAAACATGATTTTCTCCAAGTATGCTGACTCCCATCCTATACTTGTCCATAATCTCACATTCCCTAAGCTTATTACGCTTGCGACAAGAAGTGGCAAAGTTGATAACAAAACATACATCTCAGGGGAACGACACGCTCGCCAGAGCTAAAGCTCAATCCACAATCTACGGACTCTTGTTGCAAGGATTGAGCGTAAGTGAATTTTCTATGTGACAAACACCTTCCAATTTTGACCCGGCTTATCACCACAGAAAGGAACACATCACACAGCTCACCTAAAATTGCAACAAGAAATTGCACACTGGGCATATCTGGAAGAAGAGACGAAGAGAAAGATAGTGTCTGCGGGGCAATCCAGGCAAGGACGTTGATAAGGAACGGCACGATTGTTAGAATGCTCTGCCACGGATACTTATATAAGATACCAGCTGCTGGCAGCATTAATTCCAAATGCTTGAACGTCAGTTCACTTATTCACAGGTGTATAAGGTCGGTTTCAGGTCAGGTATGGACATGGCCAAGAAGGGATGGTTTGAATGTTCATCACCATCTAGATCTAGGTCAGAGCATACACACTTCTGTGTGTTTTGTAGTATCTCCGAGGTCAGGGATTCAGACGGGCTACATTGCAAATGTAATAATGAAGAGCAGAGAATACATAAGAGGAAGGCGCATGTCAATTTTTGGCAAGGACTTAGCAAAGGTGGTTGATGGAAGGGATTGAGGCAATTTCATTGTCGTTTTGGATTATGACCCTAACCCTAACTCTCGCGGAAGACTGTTTCTTTGAACAACGACCTTCAGCGCTTGTTCACCGCAATCAATCTCCAGCACTTGAAACAGCACTTGAAGTCTAGAAGACGACGCCAGAAAGGTTATATTATGGCGGTTGCTTCCAATAACTTAGTTGCTCAACCCATTGTCGTGCCTCCGCTCACAACAGAGGAGGAAGGTATGTTCATTGGCGTCGATGTTTGAGTCGTCAACTGAACACGGACTAACAGCCTCTATGTAGACCAGATAATATTTGCACGCATAACGAACGACGAGCGTCCCCTACGACGCGTGATAAAGAAGTTTCACAGCTATACCTCGCTATCGCATGCACCCATTGTCCCGCTCATTGGGCCTAATGGGAGCACCCATCCATCCTCTGTCGAAGACGCCCGAGAGGCATATTTGGTGGAATTAGCCTCTTTCCAGTTGTTGATGAAGAAGAGCTCAATGATATGCGAGGCAGAAGCGAGGCAGGTGGAGGAGTACCAGCGGGAACGTAGGAGACTTGGTGAGTTCTGCTATGGATCCCAATGACTCCACGCTTATCGTATAACAGACAACGAGCACGAAACCCTTATATCCCAGATTGAGGAATTGAAAACTGCTCTGGAGCATGCGCAAATGTTGCGTCGGAGGAAAATCGAATACGACCTTGTCGCTGAAAAAGTCAACACACTTCCAAGTAGGGAAGAGTTAGAAATGTGAGTTCTCTCAAGTCTCGCATGTTCTATTGAGGCTTGACATCTCATTCTTACGCTCAAGATCAATACATGCGCTGGAAAATGACATGGCGGCTATAAGGACAGAGCATGGTACTCAAAACCGCACCATTCAAGGACATAAATCTGCGCTGGACGGCATCATCGCTGAACTCAGCTCCCTGAGATTTATGGGCAAAGAAAGAGATGCCACAGTCGTTCCTGAATCACGACAAGATACCCCTTCCCTCCTGGATGCCCTTGAGGTAGCTTCGGCCGAAAGCAGCCTGACGTCGATCAACACCAATTCCTCAGAAGAAGAAGGAGAAGAGAGTGAAGGAGACAAAGTCATGGTGGAGGCCACCCTTGTGGTAAACGGAGCGGAAAATGTGATAGAAGAGGAGGATGACATAGAGATGGGAGAGGTGGAGGAAGATCCCAAAGATAAAAACAAGAAGAAGTTTAGAGAAGATCTGGAAGAGGGGGAAGCGACGGATGCCAGCAGTGAGCTTTCGGAACCTCCAGATGATTAACGTCGTTTGCAGCAGCAGCATTCCGTATTATTCATTGAAATTTATGTCTACACTCATTAGATCCTTCGCACAAATCACAGCATGCCCATACTCTGTTGCAGCCAAGTTCCCAATGGCTTGCATGATCGCTGTCGAGGCTTCCGAATCATCCCCGGGATATCTCGCTGAGAAGTGATTGAGAACCAACTGCCTTGCTCGAATACGTTTCGCGAATAGTCCCGCCATTTGGGGGGTGGAATGGCCATGCGACTTTGCCCGCGCTTCCACAGTTTCATATGTATCTGCGTCTTTGGTAGCTGGGTCTACCCCAGGCAGGTGCGCGTTAGTAGCCTCGTGTATGAGTAAGTCCGTATCTTCGGCCAGCGGAGTAATGGGTGACGGGTCAAAAGTGTCTCCCAAAATCACAACCTTGCGGCCATTCCTGCGTGGAGGCCCGTGAAGGACAGTACCGTCAGGAAGTTCCACGCTCCCTCCCTGCTGCAGTTCGCGCCAGACTGTTGCAGGAGCTTTTGTACGTTGAATGTCTGCCCTATATTTTGAAGGATCGATTCTACCGGGGACTGGTGCTTCTGTCACGACGAACCCAAGACATGGCACAGAGTGAAGTATCGGGCCAGCAGACACGGAGACTATGCTGTCCTTATAGATGTCAACCCAAAGGCCATCGGTTTGAGGTATATTCCGTCCATGAGGAGATTCTGCAACGTGAGGAGGTAGAGATGTAAAGTCTCCTTCTTGAGGATCCGAGGGAAATCGTAATTCGTGCACGACATAAGGGCTGCCTAGAAGAGTGTGCGTATATGCAAGGCCATTACGAATGTAGGCGCGTGTACCCAGTGGGCCATAGATCTCGAAATGCTGGATTCACAGTATTCACAGATAAGACTTGATGTAGATTGTTTGAGTGTACCCACTGGCTTTTCGAAATCGACTTGTGATCTTGGGTCTTCAGCTCCGTCCGCTGTACCACCAGCCCCATTCAACAAGCTGGCCATCAATGGTACGAGGCCAAATATGTGATCCCCTTGAGAGAAGTATGTACGTGGGCTTGAACGAACGATATCATGGCTGACCATGAGTGTGGGTTATAAAAATCTTCTCGATCTTCCCCATTTTGACGGTGCTTTTCTGCAATTGATGCTGCGTCGCTTCTCCGCAATCGAATAGCCAGACATCGCCACCAAGACGCAAGCTCAGAGCAGAGTGGTTTCTCGTTGACGACGGCTGAGCGGACGCGGTGCCAAGGAACGTAACGTTCATCCCCTGGAGCAGGGGTCGCTGCGTTGAAGCAGTCATATTTCGACACCAGATGATAGGATAACGGTTGATGAGCTTAGAAACACAACCGCTGAAAGGCTTCGCCAGGCTTAACGGAGAAGACCTAAACATCCACGTGAGGAGAAATGACTCCCCAGCACCAATCTTGTAGAAGTGGTGGGACAACAAGGGTACACTTGCAGGTTTGACGATGCAGGGTCCAATTGAAAGAGTGTGATAGAGTAGGTGAGGGAGTTGAGTGAAAAAGAGAAAAAAGAAATCGACTGCTACGCGAATGATGTCGGTAGCTGGAATCGAACCAGCGGCTCTTCGGATTTGAATCAACCACAACGAAGTGATTTAACCCCTAATCGATACCGACGATGAAAGACAAAGGACATACATAAATATGACACTCAAACTTTTCACTTGAGGAATATAATACTGAGTATTCAAGCGGTATGTACCAACAAAGTGTCCTCGTAATACGTCTGGGGGCATAACAACATGTACATTTTCATGGCGTTACACGAGGTTGCCCAGAAGTATATGGCGGCCTTGAAGGCATGAATGATCTCCTGCAAGTAGCACTCAGAACGAATGAACTGGAGCAGAACGATGACGTTTCCCAGAACATACCTATTCAATACCAGTCCTTTCAACGCTCTAATCTCTCTACGTACCTCGTCTTCAACGGGATTTTGGCCCTGGTTGCTGGGAAGGCCCATCCCCGGTGACGGTCGATAAGGCAAATAAACCTGTGTGCTGATGTATCCAGTGAAGTCTGAAAGTGTCTGAAGACTGTGCTGAAATGGACTCTTTCGCGTCTTGGTATCCTTAGGAAGCACAGAAAGCAATCCATCTAATGACGTGACCAGAGGAGGAGGACTAGAAGGCTCAGGCGCGGTGTATTCCCAATGCGACAGCGGGGTTGCCTCCTCGCTTTGTTGCGGCTCAGTCGCAGACGTAGATGAAGGAGAGGCCCTGCTGAAAAGAGGGCATGTAGACAGGGTGTCCCAGAGTTCTTGCTGTATATGAAGTTCAAGCATTACCTTTGGCCTTTCAATGGTATCGCTCACCTCATATTGCAGACCTTCTTCGCTTACCAGCCAGGGCACATGGCCTTCAAGGTAACGGAATAAATCTTCTGTTGATGGTCTCGCATCTTTCTCCTCCTTGCCTTTCCCAAAGTCAGCAATACCACACCGCAGAAGGGTGACTTGAGGTACGGAGGAGAAGTCTGGATCCTTCTCCCCGAGGATAGTTACTACATCGGCAACCGACTTGCACTGGACATATTGATCTGGTTCCTTGAATGCCGCAGAGCGAGGAAGAACCGAAAAACACTCGGCTTGCGATTCCTTCAAAGCAGAGAGCGAGGTCGTAAGCCGTCTCAAAAGTGTAAGGTGGTGTGACTTCAGAGCATGTCGGGCTAGAGAGGTCTGTGTTATTCGTGGGAGCAGTAAACGCTATAGCGCAAGCTTTAGGTCCTGGATGTAGAAGTAATTGAAGTATGACATACGTGATAGAGGAATACAAGGACAACAGAACCGCCAGCCAACCAGGAAAAGAGACGCGCTAAACCAAGAAGCAGGACGGGGAGATTCGATGGAGGGGGTTGAGGGTATGTTCTTGGTGGAATGGAAGGTAGCTGTGGAGGCTACATTGTTCAAAGCTATTAGCGGAGGATACTAGCAAAGGATAAGTCGCGCACAAGATTTTGTAGGAGACCCTCAATTTCAGAGTCATTCAAACCCTTCTCTACCAGGAAGGCGCGCTTCGCACTGATATCCTGATGTTGTACTTGGGGAGATACGAGAAAAGAACGCGCTCTTGCGAGCAATTCTGCTCTGTCCTCTGTTTTCTGAATATCGGGCGTTTGAGTGGAATCGGCTACAGGTGCAACCTCTGCTTGGACTTGAGGGGCCTGGCTGCTCGTGGAGGCATGCGGCTCTGGTGGAGTTACCTGGGGAAGCTGCGAGGACGACTCGCCTTGCTTGGTGTCTGTCATGGTCGAAGCAGAATTCACTCTTCAGAACAACCTCAGAATATGTAGTAGCACAAGCAGCCGTAAATCAGAATCGCATGTCCATTTCTTCCGGGTAACTTACGGACCGACCGCTCCTTCTCTTGTGACATCTTCTGGGAAAGCCATTACAACGAACTTTCACTCACAGAAGACTCTGTTAAGTAATAAAATCATGTCAAACTTCCAGTATCATGTCTCTGGTTCTAGTCGCCTTTCTTGTCGTGTTGGTCTTTGGATGTAGCCCAACACATGCACAATTTCACCCCACACAACCAGCTCAATATCAATCTCTGCCTTCGCTCAGGGACCGTGCTCTTATTCAAGATCAATGGACTGCTGAAAGAATAGCCAGGATACCCGCTCTTCTCAAGAAATACGACGCAGATGCGTGGCTGGTAGGCCTGTCAGCTACTGATGCAGAGCAATCTTTACACCCGTCCTAGATTTGCCAAAGAGAGCATGCTGAGGATACTATCTGGAAATCCATGAAGAACGCGACAGATTTTGATTCTCACCGACGCACTGTTCTGCTATTTCACGCCAATCAGTCGTCGCTCGCTGGTGCACCGAACCCGCTGAAATGGGTCGATAATACAGGCGCTGTATGGCCCGAAATGCGCGCCACATTGGCTAAGTATCAGCCGAATCGTATCGTACTCAATACAGACGAGGATATAGCATTTGCGGGGGGGCTTGGTGTCGGCGAACTCGCTGTACTATCCCGGGAGTTGGGTGAGGAATGGATGAAGAAAACTGTAAATATACCCATGCTGGCTGTGGAATATGTTGCGTCAAGGGTGTCAGGGCAGCTTGTATACTATCAGAAGATGCAAGAGATCGTCTGGGCCATGCTAGAGGAAGGGTTCTCTCATACCGTTATTGAGCCCGGCGTCACTACCACAGAGGCAAGCTCAACTATCTAAAATATCACTTGATCTAATGTGAAAATCTAGGATCTCAGTTGGTGGTTCCGCGAGAAGATGCAAGTCCAAAACGTGTCGACATGGAATCAACCAAGAATATCTGTTCTGGTGGAGGAGTCATATCCAGGTTGGGCTGGCACCGAAGACATCATTCAAGAAGGAGACATCTTACACATTGACTTCGGAATTACCGCCATGGGTCTAAATACCGACACCCAACACATGGCTTACGTGCTGAAAGCCGATGGTTTAGCATCGGAGATCGATGCCCCAGACAGCCTCAAGGAGGGGTTGCGAAAGGCTAACCAGATGCAGGATATCGTTCTCCAGAATATGAAACCCGGGCTGTCGGGAAATGAGGTGCTGCGCGAAAGCCTGGATCAGATGAAGTTAGAGGGCATAGAAGGTCAAATCTACTGTCATCCCATCGGCGACTGGGGTCACGATGCCGGAAGTGTAATCGGTATGCGAAATAATTACCCAAAATATGATAGATGGTAGGGATTGACAGTTTTTGCAGGCTTTCTAAACCTTCCAGAACATGTCCCTGTACTCGGTGACTTACCCATCTTGCCAAACACATACTACAGCATTGAGCTGTATGCATACCACTTCGTGCCAGAGCGTAATTCGACAATCAGATTCCGACTAGAAGAAAATGTTGCTTGGTCGGATAATTCCCAGTCTTGGGAGTATGTACGAGGGAGACAAGAGAGATTCCATCTTATTGACACAAGGAAGGGATCATCAGTCAAGTTCACTGACCAGAATCAAGGTACATAATAAATTGTACAATGTGGTGCCCTTGCCAAAAACTAGCCTGATCATTATTGGACAAAAAAAAGGGCTGTGCATACTTGAGTTCTAAGTCACTCCAAGGTTATACCATGCCTAGAACATGTTCGCGAGCTTGCTAGCAGCCTCCCGCGCATCCAATCGCGGTCTTGAAGGCTGTACACGCATGGAACTAGCCATCTGGTGAGCCGGAATGGAACCTAAGGGGTCGGTATCGTGCCTCTGAGGTAATTGTTGACCTCGAAGAGGTCCGTCATGTGATGGGGATGATACCCTGGGATAGGAGTCGCTGCGGAGGGGATCGAAAGGCATATTCGGACTGGGCCCTGGTATATTCGAAATTGATGATGAGAACGAAAGCGGTGATGGTCGTTGAGCAGTGGATTTAGTGATAAACATTGACTGCGTCCCGTCAACAAAACGGCCGCCAAGTGGAGGCTCGTTCGCAGCTGGTCTAGACTGAGAGCCTTGACTTTGGGCAGTCACCGGGCTAGAGGGACCAGCACCTGGAGATTGGGGTGGTAATGGTTGTTTGGAGAAGTGTTGCGAAGGTGACGGTGCCAGAGGTCCTCTGGGAGTATTGAATGATTGCACGGATGCAGCAGACAAAGGCTCTTGTCTTCCAAGTGGACTTTGCGGGAATGGGGAAGGTAAGGGGCTTTGTGGAATTGATGGGAATTGGGGTTGAGGCTGGTTTGCGAATTGGGGTTGGGCCTGGTTTGGGAGTTTGTGAGGTGTGAACCCATGGGGTGCTCCGTTGTGAGGAGGAAGACCGGCTGTGTGAGGAGGTTGCACGTGCGTAGCTTTGTGGAAGCCATTTGCGAGTGGAGCTGAAGGAGTTGGATCGGGATGGGTTCGTTCCGAGTAGTCCTCAAGGGGAGGAATGATTGACGGCTTGGGAACGCCGTTGGCGGCGGGGACGACCTTTTTAGCAGCATTGCTAATATCGCCTCTGAGGGCCTCCAGCTCTCGAAGTAGCTGCCTTTCATACATGATGGTTGAACGTGCATGTTCAATCAATGCAGTTGTTATATCGTCGTTGGCGTATCGATTATGTGTCTGGAGAGCTTGATGCAGGTTTTGTGATATGCCCTCGGCGCGTTTGGCAAGAACCTGTTCATACCGATTGGCCTAGCAAAAACGTTTAGTCTGTAAATACAATGTTGAAGGACAACCTAGAATAGTTTCACTGACCTCTTCCATTTCTTCCAACGCTTCGTCCACGCGATCAGGCCGTATATTCGAGGTAGCCTTCAAACGTTCTATCTGACGGCGTTTCGAGATTGTCGTTTTCACGGCACTTTGGTATTCCTCGAGAACACCTGTGCGCATTTGCAAAGTCTCCTTGGCTGAACGGGCGTTCATCCCTTGGTAGCCAAGGGAGTCGCCGAGAATGACACATTCGCTTATGGCCTGCGCGTGGTCAAGATCTGTGACACTGTGCCATGTCCTTCCAAGCTTCCGTAAAGCGTTGCCTAAAGGTGGATGCGCTTCAGTGGTCGCGACATTGATGAGTTTGTTTCCCATTTCTGCATGAGCGGCTGCTAAAGCTATGTTTCCCTTATCAGTACAATGTATTGCATGCGGATGGACAGAAACCAACTTTTTCGAGAAATAGCAAGCTTGTCTACTGCT